GATCCTTGCTCATGAGCCCAGACCTGCATGAGCATCTGAGCTTGCCTTGCTGAACTTATTCTTGGATCAGACTGCCATATGGCCGGCCAGCACTCTGCTACGTCTCAAGCTGTACGATCCAGCGGCGTGCTCATTGTATGCTCGTGGTACGGGGTCAAAGCGTCATTGAGCAAATCGACGGGCCATCAGGCACACGAAGCGGCAGGCGGACCCAAGCTGAGAGACGCATGACTATTGTGCAAGATGCGACGCGAGCGTCAAGCGGAAGCGAAATGATGGGACAGTGCGATGAGTGCTATTGTTCGTGATAGGATAGGATCGTCACCATGGACAAAGGACAAGAGAGAGACGCAGTCGGGACGGTCACGTCGGCAACCAGTTTCATCCTACAATTACGCCAACGGAGATGTTTAGGCGAACATGGCGGCAGCCAGAGCTGACAGACCAAGGGTGAGTACGGCGGAGAAGCTCGGCAAGCCGACTGTAGCGGCGCCGCTGCCTGGGCCACCGAAGGTCGAGTAGCCGTCTCCGCCACCGCTAGTAGTCGCACCATCAGTGTTTGTGTTTCCGGTGGAAGTGATGCCTTCGCCGTTCTGACCAATGGTGCGGGTCTCGTCCTTGAAGCCGCTGTTGAGACACTTTCCAGCAATGGGGTCCCAGAAAGGTGTGTCGCAGTTGTCTGCAATGCGATGACGCAAGGAGCCGCTGGCATTATTTTGGGGAGGGTTTGGCACGTCTACTGTGGGGCGTTGGAGAGGGCAGCCGTAGCAAGTTCTGAAGGGCGAGTTGTTCAGGGAATCGCCTGGGGTGTCGGAGATGCAATTTTGGACGACGGTGCTGTTGAGCAAGAGAAGAGCGATAATCAGCAACTTGCTCAGACAATGAGCGCGATCCTCGAGTGCCACATGACTCACGCTTCCTTCTCCGGCATTCCGTTGCAGATGACGTCTTGGTTGACCTGAGGCGCCTGGCACTTGAACTCGTCAAGAGTGTTGAGCTGGCTGGCAGGCACGGGGTTGCGCATCCAGGCAAGCAGCTGCGAGTTGGACACCATCCATACATTCCTCATACTCTGGTTGGAGTGGGCAAAGTCGAGGAAGGAATTGATCGCGTTGAGCTTGTTCGTCGGGTCAGGCAGACCAGGATAGCCAGACGCAAGATTAATCGGGTGGCTGTACAAGCCGAAAGGCTGCTTGTTGCCGTTGTAGTG